TAAGAGGATTGCAGGCAAGAGGAAAAACATTTATATTTCATTTTGCGGTGAACTTTCCATTTAAACCACGGCGCCATCTAATTGCAGCTGATAATGTGCATTACCTCCACCAGGCCTTTTCTCTCCTCGAGCTCAGCTCTGTCTGAAGATGACGGCTTCTCCATGGCTTCAGCGCCCCGACCACACCTAGCACTGACACACAAACACAGTATTAACTTCACAACAGTGCTGCAAAGTCCTGCACAGCGAGCAGAACCACAATTATACCAGAAGACAATGAGAACAAAGACATTACATAAACACAACTGCAACCAAGTTATAGCCTGGCCCCTTTCACTGATAGAACTGTACTGATAACAGAACACACAAACAGCAGACAGTTAAACTGCAACACTTTGCATAAGACAAAAAGATGATAATCAGGCACAGTGACATCAGCTTTACTGTATTCAAATAAAACTATTATCTGACATGACATTTAAATGCTTCCACTGTGCATTAAATTCAGTTGTTCAAACCTTGCCACCGCTTTTATAATTAAGGACTTGCTGGCAGGAAGAAGTGTGTTGACAGCTTTTTTCTCTTGAGTAACAGCGATTGAGAAGTAACTGATGTTCTGACACACACAAATCTAAAGACATTCGCACTGTAATTCCACTGTTTACCACATTAAAGCTTAACAGCGTGCAAGAACTCATGGGTACCTTAAACTGCTATTTTTTGGGGTGAATGTCTCCTTCAAACACGGTGGTGCAGAATTAAACTTTAAATGGAGTTTGCCTTGCCGTAAAGCATTCAAACAGGACTGGGTGTGTGACCGGAGTGAATAATGATTTCATCAGATAAAGAAGCATATATTTATGACGGCACTTAGACGAGAGAAAGCCAAGAAGTCTAATCACAGCCCTTCCTTATCCTGCTATTATCCACAACTATCAGAGTTTGGAATACACCCTCACTATCATGCACTCAGCAATGCTTCCTTCATGGATCCTCTTATGCAAAGAGAAATAATCAGAATCAGAGAAACTTTATTAATCCCAGAGGGAAGTGGAGTAAATAAACCACATCTAATGCAGTTATGCAACAAAAAAAACCAAAACAAAGTGCACTTGCTCTCTGTGGGGAAATCCACACATTAAACCATGCCATGCTGATGATGCACTTGGCCTCATGAATGGAACTTACACACACACCAGGTTAACAATGGGGCTCTGTGGATGACAATCAAAATAGGTCTTTGCATCTAGCCAGCATGCCTGCCATGGTTGTATAAACAACAAACACAACCTCGAGTCAGGTTTTTCCTGAATTCAAGAGAAATATCACTTTACTATTGAATAAACGCACATGTGAGCTTTAAAGACTGGACAGCACATGCTAGAAATAACCTTGACACAAGTTAGAAATAGACTTAATCATATATACTGCTGTGAAATTAATTAAGAATTCATGAAAGGAAATAATTATGAACATGACAACAGCTGCCAACTGATCGAGTTTAACCAGCACATTATGACATTTATCCGTTTCCTGTTGCAAAGGTGTCAAACACGCGATAAGGATGGCAAACTGCAAACCACTACTGACAAACTAAACCATTATATCCTCACCAAGCGTAAGAAGGAAATACTGCACACTGTATTTTACCGAGAACTCGCCTAGCAAGTGTGTTCAAAAGGAAAACAATGACTCTAGGAACAGGCCACCATAGCATTATCGTATACCACAAGCGTCGTCTAACGTCAGGTTCTAGCACCTACCTTCCCGAAAACTTGAACTCAGAATACCACCAGTGCTTTCCTTAGCGAGGAGACATGTTCTCTGCATAAACGTTAGCTTCGGACTGTTTTAATGAGCAGCATTTATGAGGAGCTGCACGCATTTTGCAGCACAGTTTACATCACTGCAGCATTACCCCGGAGGGACTATCGACAGGAAACGTTAAGCCGGCTGTTAGCAGGACGTCGTTCAAAGAAAAAATGTGAAGTTCTTAATGCAGCAGGACGGTTACGGACCATATCTCGGTACCAGCTCGGCGTCTCTGACGTCGGTGCGAAAAACCCTTTGATCACGTGACGCGACAAACTCTCGCCGCGGTTGTGGGATATTTTATGAAGGAGAAAACCGCTGTAACGAACTATATTTTTAAAAAGGAAAAATATTTTTAAATCAGTATTTTAAACATTGATTCCACCGCCAATGTTACTACTAATTATTATTATATTAATTATTATACCTCAGCCAAAACAAAAGTAATAAAATCATTCAATTTCAATACAATTTTATTTATTCAGCGCTAAATCAGAACAACAGTCGCCTCAAGGTGCTTTATATTGTAAGGTGTACCCCACAATAATACATACAGAGAAAACACCAACAATCATATGACCCCCTATTAGCCAGTGCTTTGGCGACGGTGGGAGGAAAAAAAACACCTCCCTTTTAACAGGAAGAAACCTTCCGCAGGACCAGGCAATTATAATTATTATAATCATAACTTGAATAAACAGAGTAGATACAGATTTGACTGTCTCTCTCTTGTGTGTGTGTGCGTGAGTGCTATTTAGTTGTATGATAGGTATATAGCTGCACAAAAAAGGGAATATTCTCTACATTAAATTTTGTAACTTGAGCATGCCGTCTTTAATTAAAGACACTGCTTTTCATTTGGGATTTTCCACAGTTGTAGCAGCAGTGCAGGAGCCCCATCTGTCTCTGTGTCACTGGTTCTAGTTCATGTAAGATAACCGAGAATTTGAATATTTTTAAGATAGTATAACGAAGAAAGCGGTTTGAAATGACGACTGAGACCCGGACACAGCAGTGGACTATGTGACTGTAGGGTTCCTATGAGGACTGTTTAAAAGAGTCTTTGTGTAGTTTATATACGACTTAACTTACCTCGAGTTCCTCCACCTGATGGACACCTGAAGGGAATGTAACCCAAGGAAACCCACTAAATTCAGTCGCGTCTTAACCTTATTAAACTTACAACTACATACCAAACACAACAGTCCAGACTTGGACAACACTGTTTCCATTGCAGGCCCTTGTATCTGACCATAATTACTTGGCAGTTTTCGGAGAAAACAGCCAGAGGACACAAAGTTACGCACAGACGGGGTTTAGTGTCCGGACTGCGAAGACTGTGAGAACTTCCTGTTAGTTGCTTTCACTGACTTTCGGAAATCAGAATCTCGCTGATTTTAAACAAACTCGAGACCTTTAAGATTATTTCAAACAATTTAATTTCAAATTGGTTTTGAAATTAAACTTTGGGTCTGCTCATCTGAAAATGCATTAACTAAAAACCCAATTGTGGCTGAATGAATTAAAAATGTATTTAGTGTTGTTCTTGTTTTGGTTTTTTTGCCATAATCTAAAAATTAGTTGGTGCAGAAACTATAAATAATAGTTACACTTCATTTACTGCATTACTTGACAATCCTAAAAGCTAAATCCCTGAATATGGATTGTACAACATAGCACTGGTCACCAAATAAATTGTAATCTTAGATAGACAAACTACAGTTTTTAAATGATGAATTGATTTATTAAAGGAAAAGCTATCCAGACCTACAGAATATGTCGAAAAGTAACTGTCCTACTTGTTAAATCATGAATAAAATGTAATTAACCACAATGTTGAAAAACTAGTTGCAGTTGCCTGATTACTGCCAGACCAGGTGAATTACTAAACACTCAAAACTGTCTGACAAAGCAAAGATTCTCAAAAAGAAACACATCATGCCGATCTAAAGAAACTCAAGAATAGATGAGAAAAAGTCATTGACATCCATCATTCTGGAAAGGGTTACAAAGCCATTTCTAAGGCTTTGGCACTCTAGTGAACCACAGTGAGAGCCATAATCCACATACAGAGAAAACTTGGAACAGTGGTGAACCTTCCCTGGAGTGGCTGACCCACCAAAATTACCCCAAAAGTACATCCAGGATGTCACAAAAGAAGCCAGGTCAGAGTTCATAATTCAACTACAATAAAAAGACTGGGCAAAAATGGCAACCAATGTCCAGCCACTGATGTGTGCCCTGAAGCTGAAACACTGTTGGGTTATGTAGCAGGACAGTGAACCAAAAACATAACAGCAAGTCTACCTTTGAATGATAAAAAAAAAAAAAGAAAAAAGAACGACCTAGTTTAAGTCCAGACTCCAATCCAGTTGAGATTATTTGGTATATTACTTGGATGACCTTATGTTCCAAACCCACCAGTGTGCCTGAATTAAAACAATTCTGCAAAGAAGAGTGGATCATGATTCCTCCACAGTGATCAGCGCCAGTTATCACAAATGCTGAGTTGCAGTCCTTGTTGCCAAGGTTGGCACAATCAGTTATTAGGGTTAGGTATAACTACTTTCTCCACAAAGGGCCAAGGAGGATTGGAGAGCTTATCTCTCCCCCTTAATAAATGAAATCCTTTATTTAAAAACTGCCGTTTGTATTTACTTGGATTTTTTCTGTCTAATATTAGAATTAAATGATGACCAGAAATATGTAACAAATATGCAAAACAAACAAACATTAAAAAAAAAAAAAACAGGAGGGGGGCAAATACTTTTTTTCACAGCAGGTCACCTTCTTTATATTGAGAAAAAAGTATCCCAATCTTTATGAGCCGATTGTTAAAAATATTTACATAAAACACAAGGAGGCTAGTACTAAAGGACAAGCTATTCACACTGAAAGTCGTGTGTGACTAGTGCAAAAATGTTTGTCCTAATTGACACAGTAATAGTGACCTTATATGCAGATGCATAGAACCAAAAGCAGACTTGATTTAGCTACAAGAAAAAAGGCTCGCAACACTGTGATTTCTGACTCTTTAGAGTGTTGCAATAAAAAACAAAACTAGAGCATTTGTATGTTTAGAAGAGTTTTTGTGGCCGACTACATTTTTAAAGCACTTTCCTACCAACTCAAAACATATTTACATGTTTAAGATTCCCTTGGACGCTCAACAAAAATAAAATGCAAAAATCCTCAAACAAATAACAACACTGACTTTTTTTTTGTTTGTTTGTTAAATCCTTTGAGAGGGCAGGAGCACAGAAAATCGCTTCAACAACTGATTGCACCCATAAGCATATTTGTCCTTCTTTCAGTGCTCTTTATGGTCTCCGTCCTCTTCCAGTTTTCTAATCTCTGCCTTAAGGTGGTTGATGTTCTCTCTGCTGGCTTTGAGTTTGTCTTTCAGCTCCGCGATCTCTTGGCTTGTTCTCTTCTTTGCCACTTCCAGTTTCTCCTTGGTCCTCTGCTCCAGTTCACCGACTGGAGAAACGCACAGACATGAAGACAAAAGCGACTCAAAACTTGTGAATGCCTTTTTGTTTTGTTTTTTAAAACCGTGTTGAATATATGAATACATACACTCCGTCTCATGTTTGTAGGCTCCCAGGGTGAGTTGCCTCGATGTGGTCAGTAGCTGCTGCATCATGGCTGTTGGATCCTGAAAGATCTGAAACGCAGAAAAACGACGCATTCAGAGTTCTCGCTCTCAACAATAACATGCAGCGATTGATGAGCTCACACAAACTGATATACAAACACAACCACTGTCAGAGTCTAAACCAATGGCACCATTTCATCGTAGAATTCAGACACAACTGTCTTCTTGGGCATGGCACTGGAATCTGACTGGAACAGCTTCAACAGGTGGTACAAGGTCACCTAAGAAAACAAAACCAGAAATTCAAGCAATGGATACAGGCACATTTTAAATAAGCTGATCCTCATAGACAACTATATATTACTTATCAAGTGCTGAGGATTACACAGTGCTGTTGTGTAAATATAAATCAGATGGCTTTTGATGTTTTTTTTTTCTTATAAGAAACCATACACTAAAGAAGAACCATTTAAACTGTACACTAAGAGAAATAGCACACCACACTCAAAAGTGTGTATTTCTTTTATTTATAACATGTGTATTTGAAATACTAGGGCAGTGGTTTAGACACTCACCTAACAAGTGATTTGGTGGTAAATAAATAAAACTGATTAGAAAATTTTAAACTCTAGCTCTCTCCTATATGCATCTCTTGTCCCGTCTCCCTCTTCCCTTTCCCCTCACCCCCCAAATAAATCAAAGCAAATGACGGAGAGCCCGCTCATCTATCTCCTTAACCACTTATCTAATTCAGGGTCATGGGCTGGAAACTATCCCAGATGTCACAGGGTGAGAGGCAGGGTATACCTTGGACAGGTCTATAACAGAGCTAATATAGATTGAAAGGCAACTAATTTAGAACTAGTTACCCTAACATGTGTGACTGTGGGAGGATGACACTGAGAGAAGCTACGCAGATACGGGGAGAACATGCTCCACACAAAAATGGCCCAGCTGACCAGGAAGGACAAACTTTGCTTTGAGGCAAGGCTGCTAACCACTGTGTCCACATGCCACTCAAGCTCTAAAATGTCTATCATCAAGCAGTAAAAATATATTAAACCCCTTTCATTCTGGTCCACCTGTATGGTGGATTCAAACCCTGGACCTTGTTGTAAGGAAACGGTGATGACAACTACACCACGGATCGCTCAGCTTTCTCTGAAACAGGTAAGTAACTATTTGTGTTGGCTCTTACAGGTCTCTCATTGGGATCGATGAAGAAGATCTTGATGATGATCTCAAACTCCCCCCAGCCTGTCTCTGTGATTTCATATGGAGGCTTAGTGACCACTGGAAATAAGAGAAACACAGAGAGCTTCACAGAATAATGAATTTTCTGAAAAAGTGTCATATATTAAAAATGGATAGATTACTATTTCCAGTAAATCCTTCAATATTTCATACTTGCAATGTAAAGAGTCATCTCACCTCTCAGAGGGTTACCATAGCTCTCATGTAGCTTGAACTGGATCTTTTTCACATAAGCTGACATATCCTGGTAGAAAAGTATTTTTTAAGTCTTTTCAAACAGCATTTTGTATCCTTTTTCAGGTAAATGACACATTTTGTAGGCCCTGCTAAATCCCTCTTACTGATGTGGATGCCTCACCTCATTTCTGTAAGGCTTCACATACACAGACCACTGGTGTGTGTGCCCATCCTCTTCTCTCTTCTTTCCAAAGTAGCGGGCAACATTCCCAAACACAATAGGCTTCACAATAGTCACTCCCTGCAGCCAACAGAGAGAATACAGAAATTTAAAAACAGGCATGACAACGGTACAAGTGGCAAATACAGAAGTACAGAAATTGAATCCGACCACGCGATTTTCGTCAAGTTATCTCAATCCACGTTAAATTATTCTGCTCATTGTTTTAAATGATATAAAATCACAAAGTGGTTCGCCTACACTAGAGTGTGGCGTTAGTTACGTTACCTTAACGCGCCCCCCGGAATCTGGACCAAATTCAGTCATCTTTTTGAACATATTACAACTAAAACAGTGCCGCTAATCCTTTAGTGCGTTATGCAGGACTCTTTGTTGTCCTCTCAGCTTTCTTGTCTAAAAACCTTGCCATTTAGGCATTAAAAGTAGGCGTTACACACAGCGTACTACCATTTTAAACTGCCAGCCAAACAAGCGCCGGAAGTAGGTAGTGCAACGTATTAATCTGTCCTGATAGAAAGGCTACCAGGATTCTAAGGTTCCGGGCCGGCCGGAAGCAAGAACGTTTGCGGTCATTACAAAAGCAACCAAACTATGGCCAATGAATCCAGAACCTTTTAGTTCTAGGCTTCTCTGATTTTTTACTTCAAGTGACATGATGATGTCTAACATGACTGACAATACAGAAAACAGCAATTACTTTCGGCAATCCTGTTTTCATTTGCTCATTATACTGGATATTTTCGTCACTTTTAAGGTCTAAAAAATGTATTTATCTGTCAATGTTTCTAGTGAGGAAAAACGAATCACTTACGCAATGCTATTTTAAGTATTCGTTTTATCCAGCAGAACATTCACAATCGGACAGGATGTCGACTCTTTTTACACAATGGTTAAGTTTTAAACCTCTACACACTTAGGTTATCTTTAAACCTCCTCACACCTGATATTCTGCACTTCTGTCCGACACCGTTTTATACTTTAACAACCCTTTACCATTATATTAGGATGGACTTAAATTCTGTTCAAAAGTAAGCCTTCAGGTCTAACACTTAAGGTGCGAGGTCCAGGCAATCTCCAATGGCAAAACAAGTGTTTTGGCCTAAAGTTAAGAAAATACTTTTGGACATCATACGTGATTTTTAAGCAACTGCTCCAAAACAAAATTTACTTTCCCACACTTGTTTCTAATAAAACGAAACGCATTATGCACAAATAAAACAGAACCACAAAACAAACTTAATTTGTATACTTTATTCTTTGAGAGCAAATGATAATCTATTTACCTGCAATGTACCACTACATGTAACCATTATTGGCGGTAGAAATACACCTGAACCTTAACTTAAAATCCCAAAGTTACACTAGTGATACAAATTCAGCAAGTACTTTGCCCAAGTGAGACCATTTAATATGGAAGCTCATTTCATTTTTTGTTAAGTCAAAAACTATTTTACTCATCTTAAAAAACTATAACCTCAATTTGTAGCAGAAACATGTTTCCAAGTCATCATGCAAAGGCCCCTTTACTAGACAAGTGTGATTTTAAAATAAAGTATCTAGAAACCAGCAGCAGTTAGTAACTAACTAGCAGTTAGTGAAAACATCTTAGTCATACAAATACTGAAAACTCATAAATACATATGTATATACTTTCCAACTGCTTGTGCAGTTTAAAGACTCCCGCAGTCGATCAGACTTCTTGTTTCTTCACTGGTTGTGTGTTTGTAGACCTAAAAATCACTTACCTTTTCGTGCTGCGGAACAAAAGCTAACACAAAAAAAATGAAACCAAATTCCTGTACAAATGCTCTTATTCTGGAGGGCTACACTTCTGCTTAGCTTGACCAGGGCAGAACTCCATTGGAGTTACCAAATTCAATGCACAACTAAAGAAATAATTTAATAATTTAAATAAAAACGAATAAAAAAAGAAAAAGAAAACAAGGCACATGTATAGTATTTTTCCCCAAACAGATCAGCAGGAAATAAAATGAGGAAAAAGAGCAACTAACTAACATCAAATTAAGCCAATATCATTAAAAAACATGATATAGGGCCTTAAAACTTTCAACATTTTAAAACTAACTGTTCAGAAATAGCATCATTATATTCAAAAAGGTCCCATTTTTTTCTTTTTTTTAATATCAAAATCCAATTTACATTTTGTTTACATTACATCACACTTTCAGTGAATTTGTAAGGATACGGAGCAAAGGCACTTACATTCCCCAATAAGTCACTTTCTGAAGTATACTGAAAAAGAATACACTTCAAGAGCAAGACAATGGTTTCAAAAGATGCTGGTACAGTTTCCTGCACAGCCTGTCATTCAAATTCCTGCTGTGACTCTGAATCCAAAAGTTTTACATTCACTGGTTACGTTTGAAAATAAGGCATTTTCTAAATTGTTACGGAGTGAAATTGAAATGACATTATTAAAAGAATAACCCCCAGAAAGACAAGGTGTCAACACAAGTTTCAGATTTTTTTTTGGGAGCAAATTAAAAATTTCACCAATGGCGATAATTTCACAAAAATGTGTTATAATGTTGTCTGCATGCAACTTTGTTCTTGTTAAAAACCATACAAAAGCACCATGTTATTGCGCTGTATTCATACTGATTTGCATTTAAGACACCCGATGACACACTGCAGCATCAAACCTCAACATACCTGTAATTTCCTGATTTCCATTAACTCACATTTTAAAAACTGGTGGTATAATCGTGTTATATCATGTGTGCTGGGAAAGCTGTGGCAATGTAATTTACACTTCTTTTTTTTTTTTAAATAATTGTAAGTTATAATAAAAATAACTGAGTAAAAGCTAAACCAGTCATTGCTATTTTCCCAACCTTGCATGAAAAAAACAAACCAAAAAAAACCCCCTTAAAAGCTTCAACAAATTGCTGTCCGTCCATTTTGACAAACATGCAAAACAATAAAAATGACAGGTGGCAGAATGTTTTACACTGTACCGACAAATTAAAACGCATTTTGTTCATGGTTTAGTTATTTAGATCTATCATGGAAAAGCCTTCAAAATTCAAATACATAAAACATGTAACATCTAAAGTGAAAGGCATGTAACAAACTGGTTCATACTTCCCAATTAAGGAATAAACACTTTCACTCAAGCTTCAACTATGAAGGCTGCTTGAATCTGATTTTAAATCATTATATGACAGAAGTGAAAGACAATTTGTTCATGCGGTGTTTCAGTGATAATTATTCAGCGGAATTCCAAAATAACCCACCATCAAAAACCATTCCAAACAGCAGGGTCTTCTCTTTTTGGTTTAGCATGTTGAGTATGTAATGCAACATAAGATAAAAACAAACCAAAGTGACTACATCCTTGCCATTTACCACTGTAAAAAAAACAAAAAAAACCAAACAAATAATAATAATAAAAAATCTAAGTCGGTATATACATTTAATATAAATGAACGAAACGTAGAGGAATTCACTGAATGCAGAGTGTACCTCAGTAAACATTTTTTATTACAACACCATCTAATTTTAATCAAAAAGCAGAGACATTTACAAACGTACTAGCCATGAAAAGAATAAATGAGAACGAGAGAGTGAGGGTAGGAGAGAAAACATCAAGCACATACCTTATAAAAACTAATCTCTAAACTGTATATACACACACACACAATACAGCGAGCCAAAGAACAAGAAAAAAAAAACAAAAAAAACAAAAGGGTGTAATGTTTGTGTCTTCTATTTGGGGATCGTGCAGGCCATTTATTTATTTTTAAGTCGCAAAAAAGCATCACGCTTACTTTTCATGTCAAATAAAACATCATAAAAATAAAAGAGCTGTTTGGAAAGATTCTTTTGTCATCTTTAGTTACCATGAGTATAGAAGTTTGGATAACATAGCCTTACACAGGTCAGGGTCTTCCATCCGCTGCTCTTAAACCAGGCAGACAACAGATAGAGAGAAGGATGGGTGGAGAAGGATAGGAGAGGAGAAATGGAGGGGGTGGAGGAAGTGATGGTAGTTGTGTTCCTGTCCGGTCATGCACGGAGGGCAGGGAAAGAGTTCCTCCTTTTCCTTCCATCCATCCTTGATCCTCGTAAGCTGAAAGGTGTCAAAACGAAGGGTGGAGTTTGGTTTGGAGCCAGCCCAACAGTGAACATTTTCCCCACTCATCATTAAACCTCTACACTACATACACAAAATTTACACCAGGGCTGGGTTCAATTCACCGTCACTCTGAGCCACGAGGTTGGAGTTTGTTCAAGTCATTTTATCTTAGCAAAGGCAGTGCAGACAGAGAAGCCTCTTACACGCGGCATAAATGGCACTATGGTATTTAACTGCTACTCTTAACACTCTGTTGGCTGTGTATTGTCCCCAACCCTAGCAAAGACACAGAAACATATCATGCACAGTTCAACAGCTAACATTCAAGAACTTAAATTGAACTCTATGAGTATGTACACGCACACACAAAGAAAAGTATTTCAATCTTTCGTCAAGTCTGCCCTGCAACTACAGAAACATGGATTTCAAAGTATGTACATGCATATACACATATATACATGTACAGATGTTTGCATGTGGCACTTAACTCTTTTAGACATAAAAATATTGATAACCATATGTAAATGCACTTAAATACCTGGGGCAATTTTGTTTGTTCTGTTACAGAATTACAAATTCAGGGATGGACAATGGTTATAGTGTCTAAATGGCCAAATTGTGTATGACCATTTCGTCTTGTTTACAATATTATTAAATGGTGTACCTGCATCAACATTAGGTAATACCTTCAGAATATTAAGTCTTACTTATAGCGTTTCAATTAATTTGGCTCTCAGAGGACTATAAAGTGCAGAAAACAGAAATAAATAACCTTTAAAACTTACAGGGAGTTTTATTGGAAGACCTGAGCTAAAAGTTTTTTTTTCCTTTGATAAGTCTTTAACTATAGCAATAGGGATTTACCTTTCAATCACCTCCAAACATTTCAGTATTTGTCATTATGACCAGCAGGTTACATAACGGAGTACACTGAAAACTTTGCTCACTGTGGCAAATACCAGAGAAAACCATGGTTGCAATTTGTTTAAGCTGTATATTTAAGTGAAAAGACAAAGGACCAAAACAGTAATCAATCAAAAAAACAGCTATGAAGGAAAAAGCACATACGGCACATCTAGTGAAACCTTTCCTGCCCAAGCATACCAAGAGTTTTAATAAAACAGAAAAAAATGTGACAGTGTGATTCTTACGGTGTCGCAAACATGGTCAAAGTCAGGAAGATGGAATATTTTGTGCTTGTAATGCTTTGCATAGACAAAGTTGAGCATGCAAAGTACAGGAGTCAGAAAAAGCTACCTCTAACCATAATTGTAAAGGACAGCAGCAGTGGGATTACAGTTCTACACAATTTAAAGCACCTTACCAGAAATTTGTACAATTTTAAGATGAAATGACAAAAATTGTGATAAAGAAAGTCATTTCAAACTTGTTGTTTCAACATTAAAATCACTGAACCATGATTAAGAGATTTTGCTTCACACGCTGAAATGAAGCCAGATAGAACTGGTATCTACACCAAAATTCAAGTAAGTACAGGTGATTTTTTTTTTTACATTGTTTAATGATTCAAATGCATAATGAAATTTGATAGGTTTCATAATCTGAAAAGTTTTCTTTACACAGTATATGCCTGCAGACAAAAGCAGTTGAGCTTACAGCCACATCGCACATCTCAGTACTCCTCCCATAATCACACTTGACATAACTGAACTTTTCTCAAGGGTGAAACATTTAAATTATCAGCCCAATAAATCCTTTATATCGGGTTCATTATATTTCATATAAAACTTTAAAATGTGTAGTAGGTGTGTCAGTTAATACAGAATGGAAATGAAACGGGACAGAGCCAAACCAGGGTCAAGCAGTCCATGAAATAGTCTCAGTCCACTAACTTGGCTATGTGCTACAAAAGGCTCGGCAAATAAGATTGGGCCAATACTTACCACTGCCTAGCTTATAGACTGCCGTCTAATCTTTCACTGTTATTACTTATGTGTGTATGATATTTCAGAAAACTACTCACAGACAGCTCATTGAGTATGAAGGTACACATCTTTTTCACCAACTAACAGTTCATGTGTTATATACTGTAATAACTGTGGGGCTAAATATTAAGAATTAAAACCATGTCCATTTGCCTTAGCTCAGCTATAAAGTCAAACATTTTCTTTTTATATATTATGGCCAAAGGCCAAAGTTAAGGACATGAATTACATTTCAACCATGTTATGGACATGAAGGCTGTTTGATTAGCTATAACCTAAACTGTTTGACTCTGGTTTGACATGTGTAAATAGCTTGGACATTAGGGCTGCACCCCCCAGCACACATACACCTACAAACAGGCTGAAGAGAAAGCATAAAAGTAACTTAAGCCTGGTACAAACACTGTGCGTTCTTGCATGGAAACATGAACAGATAAACAGTGTTAAGCACATCTCGAAACAACAAACGGCCACACTACAAGAAGAGGAGCAATGTACTTGGCACTCAATCTCAATTATTTTCCTCTTTAACAAGCTCACAAATATCAGTAGAAATGCAAAGGCATGGTGCAATGGAAAAATTGGGACATATCTCACCATCAACATTTTTGCTCGCTTAATTTTGATCTTTAGTCATTTTTACTGCAAACAACAATTTATAAATATTCTTCAAATGCATTTTGGTGCTTGACACATTGCAATAGGCTATTAGGCCTTGTGCCCACAGAGGATCTCCAACAATGACAACAAGATGGCTATTAAAGGAGACAGCAGCAACTTTCACATTTTATTTATTAGTTTGATTTTTTTTTTTTTTTTAAACTTGGACTTAAAATGAAAGTTAATTTACAAAAAAAATCTTATGTATTTGACAAAATGTAATCTTTTGTTGTGAGGTTCTTGGTGGACACAAGGTTTTGCAGGAAAAACGTGAGCATGTAAAGAACAATTTTGTGGAACAGAGACCAGATCAACTCAACAAGCTAGAACTTACAGCTAAAATCAACATAACTCTCCAGAATTTACATGACAAATTGCCTTTAGAGTTTAAGTTACATTCTTTTGGCTACTTTCAAAATGCAGCAACTCCATAAGTTGAACCACCCCAGTTATTATTTTCCAGTATAAGAGAAATAGGCACACAAACAGGGAACAATGTGAATATATAAATATCTTTCCAGTGGGTGGAGCATAGTTCATGCTGTTTGAGTGCAAATACATGAAGATATCTTTAGTGGATAAAGCACATTTAAAATCAGGACAGATATTATTTGGGAATGGGGGCAACTGTACAGAGATGCTGTAGGGTCCACGTAACCTACTCAAGTCTGCTTTACATGCAACACTGTAGATATCTCAGAGCTTTGGCAGTAAAAGACAGCCAAAAAACCCAAAATGGCTGAAACACTATATCCAAAGAAGCCCCAAAACTTTTCACAAGTTAGCGGGTTATTCAACGTGCAACTGAAGCAATGGAAGAAAGCATCTTCACAAAGAGATTACATAACGACTTGTGAAACCCTGACTCTGAAAATCCCAGACAAAAACCAGCACAGGGCAGAAAGGCAGCCTAAAATAGTTGACTCAAATCATTTGAGAGCAATACACTATTAATGATTTTTGTATCCAACAACGTTAGGTGCAAGCTGACAATTAGAATGTTCAGATAAATGCATCTACAACCACAGCACCAGTTAAAATTGAATTAGCTTGGATATAATGCTAAAAATAGACAAAAATCTCACATGCCTGCATGATCTCTAAATTGGACCGATTAAACTGAATGCTGAAGCCTAACTCACTGTCATGAATGTTATGCACCAGTACAAGTTCTCCCATAAAATTGTGACTTTCTTTTCCTGAATCATGCAGAGCCCTCTAAGGGTTAACACTGAGAATATTTTTCTGGACTATGTTTGTGTTCTCTTGCAGTAATGTTTTCTCTGATCCATGGAAAAAGAAAAAGAAAAAAAGAAGCTAAACTCTATTATGAAATTGCATTATACTCATTTTGACCACTACACGAGTAAGTTGACTTTCAGTTGTGACTGTTCAGGCACAGGTATTCAGTTACTACAGAAACTAGAGGAGCTCTTAAACTGTAGCTGTGATTTTTGACTAAAGTTGTTGGAAGACAAACTGTCAGCGTGATAGTGGCTGTGACCACAGCTGTGCGTTAGTTACGGTTACAGTTGTGACATACAAGGAGTCATTTATGATAGGTCTAACATTGAATGCACATGGAGGATATATGTAACTTGTATTGAATATACTCTATTTCTGAACACTTGTGGTATTTTAACAACTAGCATTAAAGCATTTTAATAGTACAGCAAGATCTCCACTTCAGTCCATATGCAGAAATTATATTACTATGAGTGAACACCACAATGGCCTACAAAAAATAAAATAAAATAAAAACAAAAACTCCAGTGTAACCTTCTGGGGGAGCTCCACAGACTCAAAGAGCTTAGGATCTAAAAACACTGATTTTCTTAAGCTTGTGCTAGCTTTTAACTTTAAATCACTTTTTTTTTTAATTGTGTGTCAACATAATAGTATGATAATGCAAGTTATTATGCACAGATCTGAAATATTAACGAATTCTCATTACACAGACTCTGCAAACAATTTGATTTCAGCCACTGTTGAATATAGGCTGACCTTTGCCTCATAAAATGATTAGATGTGACACTGCGTGTAAAAACCACACCAGCATTTGGATATTCAGTAACATATATTTTGACAGATTATTATGTCAAGGGGACAGGCATTTTTCCCTCCTCCACTTCACCTCAACATCTTAAGTTAAGGTGCAATTATACAAAAGTGAGCAAACACTATGCAATAAAAACATTCAACTTGACACAGGTGAAATGTCAGGTGATATTACTGTCATGCAGATATGGCACAATGACATTAGTTTTTTTTTTAAGGGGTGGGAGGGGGCAAAAGTCATAAGATGTTGACACTGATAAATGTTTAACTTCTCTGAAATATCACAGGACAATGATAGATTTCAAATAACACACTAAAACTGGAATATGTACAACACTATGAATGAAACATTTACAAAATGTAGATTGGTCTACTACTGACAAGGTGTAAAAACAGTAATCAATTCAATCTTAACAGACCATATAAAATCTTAATTTGTACGAAATACTGTAAAAATGACTGTACAGTATTGTGACACCCAAATCTTGCCAATCAGGATTGAAGCGACCAGTACAAGCCCACTGATAAACCAAACTTTGGGAATTCACATATAATTAATATGGCAGTTCTGAGTGTTGATATAATAAAAATCAGGCACATTTGGTCCACTTGCCACAGTTCCTGGTAAAAGCCAAAATTCTGATAATTTCTACTTTATTGATGCAAAAACTCTTTAAATTTTATAAAAAGAGTAACTGCAAAAATCATCTCAACAGGTAACGTATGCTATTTTCTTGCCATGCACAGGTGCATACAACTTTTATTCTAAAATGTATTTGTTGGAATATCCAAAGCAACAAATGAACTTTGTAATTTACCAGCCTCTGAAGCCTGCAGACCAAAGAGTACAAAATACATCCAGAAATCCAGTGACTTATATTTTCTCATTTCAAAGGGACTACAGCGTAGATACAACACTTACAGACTCCACACTGTGCCAAAGTGAATACATCAAGTGTGTATTTTGCACATTTTGTGATACAATAGAAATTGTGATTACCACTGAAGAAATATGGTTTAAGTTGACTTACCTTATACCTACCTGAAGAGAGAGGACTGAGTTTTGAAAGCCTTTTCGTTGCCTACCTCTTACTCTCCTCATGCAGTAATTTAATATTTTGATGATAACATCCATTATCAGATGTTTAACCATTATTTGGGTGTAAGTAGGATTTGGTTTTGGGATTTATCTAGAGCCAGTGAATCCAATGAGAGGAGGTGTGCAAACAGAGAAGACTTTAAATCTCAACTGTGCCACTTTCTGTTTCTGTCATGCCGTCTGAGCCTAAATTAGTTTGCCACAAGGTTTAAGACAAAGATGCTGAAAAATACACAAAAAAATAAAACTGGTACCCACCTCCTTTCCGGCTAACGGTGCCGGTATTCCCTCTCCCTCTCTCTTTCCCGGTCACGGTCCCGATCCCTCTCACGATGACGATCTCTCTCCCGACTGCGTTCTCTGTAATAGTCCTCATGCCTGTCGCGGCTACGAGATTTGTGTCGTCGACTCTTTTCTCTTGAGCGACTGTGGTCACGTTCCCTGGAACGTTCTCGCCTTGCAGAGACAAACGAACATCAAGTTACAGTTGTGAAGTTTTTAATAAAGTTCAAACACCTACATTTTCTTTTAGTATGTAACTACCTGTTTCAGTGTAATATTTAACAGGCTTACCTTGACGCAGAGCCATAGCTCTTTGACTCAATGCCATGGAGACAGTCCTGCAGAGAACTGATGAGGACCTTGCAGCGGTCATCTGCGGACACTTTGGACTGCTTAATCAGACTGATGGCTGTCACCAAAGTCTCTATAGCACTGCCATAATCACCTAAAAAGAGAAAACAGTGGAGTAAACTTTTCATCCATCCATCCTCTTCCATTCATCCTTATCAGGGTCACAGGTGGGCTGGAGCCTATCTCAAGTGTCATAGGGCAAGCAGCCGGGTACACTGGTCTATTGCAGTGCTCTTTTACTTCTTTGAAGAAATTTAAGTTTTCCCTTACTGACAACATGTAAACGCACTTATTTAAATGTATTGGAAATATATCACCATTTGCCTTACCTGCACTGGCATCAGAAACTGCTCTAGATATGGCACTGGAGGAGATGGCTCTGTTCCTGTTCATGATCTCCTCAAACTCTGCCTCGCTTAGAGGGGTCCGTGATGTGTCCATGTCCCTAAAGAAAATAACAGAAAAAAAAAGGATCAAGCATGAATTTATTTTTAATTCACAGTATCCAAGTTCTAGGCTACCCGAGCACAAACAAAAACCTCATATTGAATGTGTATATATAGTGGTTTAATTTGTTGTTCTTCTCAGTAATTGTTCTTACCGGCCTCCAGGCCCATAATCTCCTCTTTCATATGGTGGTGGGCGGCCGTATGGGTCATTTGGTCCCGGTGGACCTCGGCTATCATTGGGTGGCATGCTGTTGTTGCCAGGGGGAGGAAAGAAGGCAGGGTTCACGTGCGGCGCTGGTGGTGGGCCACCTGGCGGGGGACCTGGCAGATGTGGTGGTGGAGCCAATGCCATAGGCGGGCCAATAGGTCCAGGAGGACGGGGTGGAAAGGGTCCTGGAGGGGGTGGGCCCTGCTGAGGAGGTGGGGGACCAGGTGGAGGACCATAGCCTGGAGGAGGTGGACCTGGAGGCAGGGGTCCTAGTGGTGGCTGGCCAAACTGCCCAGGGAAGAGAACAGGTGGAGGAGGCCTATCACCACGATTTGGAGGCCCAGCCATGGGAGGTGGAAGACCCTGGCCTGGAGGTGGAGGTCCTGGAGGTCCTGGGGGACCTGGTGGACCGGGTGGGGGGCGTGGAGGACCCTGCATGCCACCTAGAAAAAGAGCAAATTAACAAAAAAGACAAGAACAAAAAAAAAAAAAAAAAAAAAAAAGAACATGAAAGAAGTAAGCTCCAGTAAACCAAAATTATTGTCTAGAATGACACAGACTGAGCTCTCCACCTCTTTCTACAAGAACAAGTAACTGGCAGATTGAAAACATAAAATGTATACTGGCACAGTCGATTTGTGGACTCATTTTTGAAGTCTAGTGGCAGCCTGTATTTTTCTATGTATCTTTTGTACAGTGATACCTTTAGGTACCAAATGGCAATTTAAAGCAGGGACAGTGACACAAAGATGAAAGAAAGCCATTGCTGCACAGGACAACAATTGACGAAAAAAGGTCACAAATGACACTGAAAAATAAATCAAAAGGAAAGTGAACAGATGAGAAGCTATAGTTTCAAGCAGGCGTTGCTGTTTTAATTAAACAAGGCCTTGTATTGGACTGGACCCTTCTCATTAACACTTGACTCAGAAGATGCACTGCTATAAGTTTCCAGAAGCCCTAAAGAGAGTATGTACAGTGTATAAACTGCAATGTGGAACTAAGGAGTTTGACTGCTTTACATCAATTACAAACCTGCGAAAAGAATTTTTCCAAAAGTTTAAAAATAAGTTTTTTCTTGACACTGGGCCATTATGCCACCTGAAACAACTAATTTACCTAAAATGTACTTAAGCTCAAAAAAACAAAGCACACGTTTATTTCTTTTGGTAAAAATGTTTTAAAATTTAAAATGCTGCCATATGTGGGGCAAATAATGTAAACTGTCGATTCAGAGTAAGCAATGAAGATCAGCTGCCTCGGGGCAGTAAATGTGACAGTTTAATTTGTCAATAAAAAGCCAAAGCTAGGATTATAAGGCCATCTAATAAATCAATTAGATTAATCGAGGTATTTCACCTCTGCTACGCCAGCTCCCGTTCCTGCCCCCCGGCTGGAAGGGATTGCAACTCATATCCATCAGAGGGCCATCTTGGTGCCTAACCAGATCTGGTCTCATGCCCGAGCCTAATGGGGAAAAAAGCAAACCAATCACAACTCCTCCCTTCAGAAACCTCTACCTGCTAACCGAAGGCCTGTCGCAGCCCAGCGGGACGGGGCACCAGCCACTAAGCGAAAGAAGAGATATGAAAAGGGGGAATGGAGAACAGCCTGCTACTCCATTCTCTTACTGCTTCTGAAAAGCAGCCAAGCCAAGATTTGTAAAGAGGTAAGTTTGGCAGCGTACCAAGTCAAGCTTTGAGAAAACCTCTAAGTAAAGGAATGGTGTTGGAAATTTTCACAAGCAGGAAACCACACCATGAGAAGGATCAACTGTTCAACTTGAGGTTAAGTGAGACAAAAATTCAAACCAGACAAAGAAGGAAACATGCAAAGAAAGCCCTGCCAAGGGAGAGATGAGAGATCCCGCAATAGTAAAAAAAACATACTAGATCAGATGAGCCATGATCCCATGCAGGTGTGAGTAACAGCAATGCCTGGACTGTGCTACCTGAGCAGCACTGCCAGACAGAAAGCAGAACTTCCAAGTTTTTAAAACACTTGTGACTTTAAATCTGTTGTGCTGTAACATTATATGTATTTATTTTTTTCAAATCATCACACAGTCAACAATACTGAACAGAAATAAACTGACCTACAAAGTTCAATATGTGATTTAACACAACCTCTGCCAGCTGTGGTGGATCCATACATGACAGGTTGCACTTTTTGTGAGCTGTGTGTCTTTATGGATTTGCTTGTATCCACAACACATCCACTCATGAACTCGTTTTGACTGCCAAGTCTCAAAAACTAATATATCCACCTCAAGTTCAACTATATATCCCTATGAAATGTGGTTAAACAAACTTATTTTGGTAATAAGCCCACTCAGCATTCAAGAAAACACAATCCATTGATTTGGAACGTTTCTGCCCCTAATTTATTTTTGATGATGAATTTTTGAATATCAATATTCATTTCTCAAGTAACTGAGTGTTGTCCCATACTACCAACACATCTTGCTAAACTAACCAGGAAGGTGTGGTGGAGGACCCCCAGGCCCTACGGGACCAGGGAAGCGGTCTCCTCCAGGGCCAGGTGGTCCGGGGAACCTGCCTCTCCCTCGGCTGCCCATGGGGAAACCGCCACGGGGTCCAGAACCAGGAGGACCAGCCTTTCCTTCCCCAGACATCTGACCTGTCTGGGTACCTGTGAAAAGACAAATACAAACTCATTTCATATGTAATCATTAATCAATACGTGCACCTGGCTAAGAGACAAAAACAAGGATAAATTACATGTATGAGTTCATACATATGCTAAGATTAAACACAGGTCATGTAACATACAGTGGGGCAAAAAAGTATTTAGTCAGCCACCGATTGTGCAAGTTCCCCCACTTAAAATGATGACAGAGGTCAGTAATTTGCACCA